GATGCACATTAATTATATTTAATATTAATATTTGTCATCGTGTTTTTCGTATAATATTAAATAAATATATGCTCTTTAACAGCCCCGCCGCGCCTTTTTTTTATGACGCGTGCGGACAACGTCTAACACGAATACGAAATATATAACGTAATAAATGACTACATATAAGTTTATAATATATTCTAACCGTATAGTTATTATTTTCGTTCTGTCATTAGTTTCTACGGACATTTTATTATATAGCGTTGTCGTACGGACTATATTATACGTTTCGCGTCGTCCACTGCCGCGGGCGTGTGGCGGCGAACATTAAAATATTATTGTCGTGATTATTGCGTAGTATATACAAAAAATACACCGTTTTATTAGTGTGTCTCTATGCATATAATATACATAATATGATACTTATATGATATTTATCCGACAAAAATAATTACGCTTCGAGATTATAGTCTTCAGATACCCCTAATAAGTGTTATATAGCCATATAGGTGTACCAGTCCGATATTATATTAAACGGAGCTGTTAGACATACGACAACGATCGGTATCTGAATAATAATCGCGGGGTCGAAACGTACGTATAATAATATAATATTATATATCTTCATTTTTTATTATTGTTGTCATAAAAATCACTGAAATAATAATTACCAAAATGCTTGAAAAATATGCAAATAATCGAAATAAAATAAAACAATAATGCACAAACTCTTACGCGTGTGAATGGATATAATTTTATTACAAATAACTGCGGTTTATGTTGTATTTCAACTGATTTCCTCGTAAATTTCGAACTCTAGTAGATATGTACGTAATAAGTGGATATAATGGTCGAAAAAAAACCACTGGTGAGCAAACAATCGTTCTAAAAGCGCAACTGTGGAAAAATGACTGAAAATTCTTTGCAAACGAATTTCAACAGGTGTTCAAATATCTACTTCCGATTTTATACTACACAGTACACATAGTATCGCAATGACATCCCCGGATGTGTCTAAAATTAAACATTTTCGTTGTCCGTTAACCGTTGGTATACACGAAAGTTATTTTAAATTACATAGTATTATATTTTTATAATATGTGTCATGTACGCGTCTTAACAGGTGTTAAAAAAAACAACAATCGTACATACTTCTGGCCGTCACTGCAGTTTTGTTAGAATATAGGTCTTCGGGAATGATATAATATGTAGGTATAGCTACTTTTGTTTGATCAAAAATTCTATATAACAATTGTTTGAGGCACCAATTATGTCCGTAAACTCGACGCATGAAAGAACAACGCCCTCCTTAAGTATTGATATTGAAGTCATTTTCTCGAACCAGCTATTTGTTTTGTTATTGTTCATTAGATATGTAAAATAAGTAGGTATATAGCCATATAGGTAGTATTTAGAAATGGTTTCACAGATGTACTATATATATTAAACACCTACCATGTTATCTGGTAAAAATTTAAGTAGCAACAACCTGCAAAGATATAATATAATATAATATGTACCATGTACATTGTAGATAGGTACCTAATATAAATTAAAACTATAAAGTGTATTGTGGCCACCTCGTAGTTGTTTTTCTGTCTGTAAAACGTTTTTTTTATTTTATTTTTTCACAGTATAGAATTTCAAATTATTATTCAAATTTATGAAAAAAAAAAATAATAATAATAAAAGTAATACAAAAGATAGTAGATTTCATTAAGCAACACGAATGATATCCATCCACTGTGAACATCTGTTGTGTACATTATAGTTACCTACGTACAATACGGTATACGAATATATTATAACCTCATATTACAATAGCGTAGAGAAGCGAAAATAAACAATATTCAGCAAACTTGAATCTCAAACACTTGTTACATGTATATTGTATAGTATGTGAGGTATACATTACATTATTATAATTTATAAGATTTATTTATTATTATGTTAAGTACACACATGCGTTTGATAGGGCGGTTTGATAATGTTAATAATTATTACTGAAGTGGTAATAATAATTGTAAAATGATGTCGCGGTTAATGCGCTGTGCGAGATATTACAACGTCGTGTGTATATAATATAAAATAATAAATAATGATACCATGCATAAACCCACACAAAAATGTTCACATTGGCGCATACAGAAAATTATACAGCGTACGTACACATGTAAATGGCTATTTGCCTGAAAATATTACACATATACATATTATTATTATATATATTAGTGTTTGACCACACTGGATTAGGTTGTCGGTGCGGCGGTGTAATGTAATATTACTATACACAATATTATAGATACTGGTCGGTATATAAATTCGTATAACAGTGATACACCATTAAGAAAACGTCGGAAAAGGCGGAAATGATGAAAAAAAAAATTGGAAATAAAAACCGCACAGAACGTCGTATAGGTGCAGCAGCAGTACGGTACCTACCTACATACATATTATAATATTATTATTCCGCCGCGTAGACGACAGTTTCGCTGTGTATACGTATTCTTATCCCAAGTGTATATATCTCTCTCTCTAGTGGTGTGGCAAAGGGATAATCAATAGGCGGCTAGGTTTGGTAGAGTGGGTGGATCATGGCTGACGGATAATAATTTAATATTTAACTATACAATAGGCGTATAGTTAAAAATATGACGGTAAATGCCTTTATCATGTAAGGGTGGTGATGGTCTGTATACAATAACCACTGAAAAATTTCAAGTTCACCACGTTACGGGTATAATACCTGTTTTGATAGTAATTGCATGTATGCGCAAATATATAATATGTACCCGCCTATATATTTACCTACCTATTAGGTATTTGTAATTATTTATATTATATGTTATAATAATTAGTTACTAGGGCTAGGAACTATATGATCTAAAAAACTTTAAAATATACATGTATTTATGCTTTTAAAATTTATTATCATATATCCTTTTAAAATATGCTAAAAAAATATTTTATTTTTTATTAAAAACCGAAAATTATAAATTTATATATTATTAAATTAGAAATTTTTAGTTTAATCTTCACAAATAAAAACTGTACTCAATCTAGAATATTATACTAATTATATTAATGCAAGACGAAAATAGATATGAATATATGATATTACCGACAGACGGTTTGACATCAACTGACCGTAATCGGCGTATTCTTTATTTACCGATTTTATGTTTTTTTTAAAAACACAAATAGGTAATAGGGAAAACACACGGTAGATAATATTTAATAATTTTAATTTATTGTTTTTAAATTTCTAGAAAATTCATAATAATTATTGTATAGTAGGTATATTATTCTCTTCTCTATGTCACATATTGTTTATAATTTTTTTTTTTTTTTTAATATGCAACAAAATGTTTATAAGTCAAGGTTATAATTTACTCAGATTTTATTTCTGCAGACTATTTAACATTTCGGAAACTGACGGGTATGCGTCATAAATAATAATGAGTTTTCGGTCGTTTTAGCAAAACCAACAAAAAATTCTTCTTTTAGTTTACGTAATTAATACCGTCGTGATAAGCTTAGCTCTGTTTTTAGATATTTGCAGGAGTGAAATTATTCTTTTTGGGTTTAATTAAAATACCGGACAATACTATACACGCGGGATAAGTATACTTATTACCTGGCAAATAGTAGGTGCCAGGTGCCTCAGAGGAGGTTATTTTTCTCGCATTCGCTTCTATGACAATATTGTCGCAACTTCGGCGGTCGATACTGCTGCAACTTGTTATGATAATATTGTAATTTAAAACAAACCGTCGCCGTGCTGTAAAGCGCACTGTATGGTCGTTAAAAAAAAAAAAAAAAATAGCAAAAATCGACGAGAAAATCCAGTTTTTTGACCGCCGCTGCGCGAGATAGAAATGGCGATCTGAGCGCGGCGGCGCAGAGGACACGAGATGATCGTATCTCCGAGCGAGCGATGGAGGGCGGGGGGGGGGGGGACTGAATACAATAATGGGTAAAAAAAAATATAAGAAAATATATCCTCGCCCAGAGCAGACGCTTTGCGGGTGGGCAGAAATGGTCGCAGGGGCATCGTCACCGCGCAGGGTATGTCCGGATGACGCGACGTCTTTCGGTGGTGCACGGTGGGTTGACGGCGGTGGCGGCAGTGTCGGCGGCGGTGGCAGACAAACGAGTTCGTCGCGAGCACGGGGAATGTCGAAACGAGCGCGCGCCGCCGCTAATTAGAGGACGTCCCGCGAGCGCGCGCGAGAGATGACCGCGGCGCGTGTTCTAAATAAAATCGGACCTTAATGAGACCGGCATACCTCGGTCGTCCTCCGGAGGGCATCTCGCACAGAGGCTCCTCTGATTTATGGCCGGTTTTCGATTCGTACCTTTATTTTATTTTTTTCGTCCTTCATCTCCTGTTGTAATAATAATATGTTCTTTTTCACTCTCGACCGGCCATTGTCCGGCCCGACTGTTTGTACGTGTAATGCCACCGACTGTAATATATATCTGATATTATATATTTATAATAGCCATTTATAATGACATTTTATTATTTTTTTTTTTATACCGTATAAATGCATTTTGCTGTAATACGCCGAAGAGGAAAACGATGTATATTATATTATTATATAAGTGCCTATATAATATATATTATATAGATAGATAGACATTTATAATAATAATAATAATAATAATAATATACGGCTCAGGTAAGGGAAGAAAAATATCATTAAAAAATAAAAAATAAAATATATATCAGTTTTTAACTAATAACACAAATATATTTTCAATATTAGTCGAATTAATTACAATTTTTGTTCGCTATATTTAATATTGTTTTAAAAAGTTGAGATCATAATACATCGTATAATAATAATGACAATATATTCATACACAAACAAAAATAATTTACAAAATATGAGATTTTACAATTATTAAAAACATAACAAAATGATTAATATAATAATCCTAACAAACACAATATTATCTTAATATTAATATTTTAACATTGCACTTCGAAATGCATAATATGAAGCTCGCTAGAAGTAATAAAATTATAATTTAGGTATTGTTTTTAAAGCGCATAAATAAAGTAAAATAATATAATAAAATCGAATAAACCATTTGATATGATATATCGTAATTTAACTACGAACCAATAATGATATAACTTCTATAAAAAGAAACTTTCCGTTTATTTTTTATTTAAGGTTTGGCACATAGATTCACATGTTAACGATATACAATTCATGTATATTTCGCACATATATATTACATAAAAGTAATAGAGGAAAGAGTAAAAAGTACCTTTTGGCTACAGAAATTATAATAAAGGATACAAAATAAAAATATTGTATAATAAAAGTGACATTCGCGTAAAATAAGAGATTCGAAAGAAAGAAACATATCTATCTTGCGATTCATTATAATACTTTTAGAAAACAAATATTCAAAACTCTGTACATACGTTATATATTATAGTATAATATTTTATTCGTTCGTATACAGTTTTATTGACTCGTCGACGTTGCGCTTGGCGTGCGTTAAAGTTCTTAAATTACCAACAATAATACAATATTTAAGTATATCATCGTATAGTATCATATAGAGTATGCGGTAATTTAAACGAAAAGCGGTGCAAGAGCTAGATTATTTTCTAATAGGAAATCAGAAATAAACGATTACGTATCTATACCAAACACGACTTGATGTGTTGAGTTTCCATATTTTTAATTATAAATGTATTAAATATTAATAGTATGCGCACGTCTATTGTGTTTTGTTTATATTTTTTTGAATTTGTTTTTAACATTTTCGTAAAATGTTTAAATCACAGCCACAGAACCTTTGTTCTACGTCAAAGAAACTATGTACACGAGCCTTTACCTCCCTCTTCCTCCTCTTCCTCCTTCTTCTCCTTCTCACTTACTGACGAGTCCCTTTGGCCGAACGTAATTTCTGCAAGCTCCACGCACCGAACGAACTTTTAAAACGATAATTATTAGATTATGCGATATCCGCAAGTACAATACGACGACTTCTCGTTTGCGGAACGATTATCGTTTATATGCATTAGCCGTAGTAGTTAAAGCGATTTTTGTTTAAGCGTCCACTGAAAGTATAATGTACACATTACCTTTATATGGCCTTTTTTACAAGTATATTCTTACACAAAATAGTATAACATAATATTATAACATGATGACTTTTGAATAAAAAAATTAAAAAAAAATTTAAAAAAAAAACTTAATTCAACAACGGTTCTGGTAACCCTGTATAGCATGTGACATATAACAGTTCCTACTTAGGTTATAGGTACTAAACGCGTACCTACATATTGTCTCGGAAATATACACAAATGAGCGTATATAGCACTATGTAATTTCGACGGTCAACCGGCTAGAATGCAGCCGGGAGCTTTGTCCGCCTTGACTGCTTGTCGCCATTCCTCCAACCTGGGAGCACACCGCAGGGCCAACTCGTCGAATTTGGCTCGGGCCATGAACACAAACTCGCCGGGCCCAGCGGCAGGCCTGCAACCCCGGCCGAACGTTATGGTCATCGGCCGGTCGTCGCGCCGCGGTCGTCCGCTCTCGTCCTCTTGCTGCTGCTGTTGCTGCTGCTGCTGCGGCGGCGACACTTGCACCACCACTCGGTCGTCCTCTTCAGGCGGCAAACGGTGTGCCTTGGTCGGCATCACTCGCACGCGCGACACGTCGCCGTCGTACGAAACGCCCACTATGGTGCCTTGGACCACTGCAAAAGAGAAAATCAAAATTTAATTATAAATATAATTATTGTTTCGGATGTTCAAATAATATTTTGTTTCTTGTTAGGTGTTCTTATCTCGCTCGGTAGGTATAGGTATTACTTAATATAACGACACGTGCGCATAATATTAAACGTGTACCAGGTACCTATATAGGTATAGTGGAAATGATTTCGAAAGAGTTATCGAATTTTCGAGTCATTATTGAGTTATGAGTATTTTAAGTTTAGGTAAGCGGAGTAGTTAGATCAACATTTTTCCGGGGATACCCGTACCTTACCACTCCGGTCACCAAAACTTTAAATACTGATAAGTTTTCAGCGATGATTCATATAAACTACTCGTCCAAATTTCTATGAATCGTATCGAAACATTCTACAAAAAAATATTCTACTTCAGAATATGAGATAAAAAATATGTATTGTCATTCAAAAAAAAAAAAAAGAAAAATTAAAAATATATAATTTTTTTTTTTAATTTTGTTTTATTTTGATTAGATATATTAAGTAAAAAAATATTTTCAATAACATTAATAAATTTTGAATTGACGAGTGTTGTTCAATAAAAAAAATTAACTACTATTTATAATAAATTATATATTATATTTGCGTGTAATTAAAACAATGTTATGTATTATTAATTATTTTACGTAGTCTAAAAACGATGCAAAGAATAATTAATTCAAATAGAAACCTAAGAAGTACATCATAATCATCACTATTGTATTAAACATATAATTATATATTGCTATGATTATTATAAACCTATATATATATATTTACGTTTCCCACACCCGCTGACTAACCGCGTATTGTTTATTGGGAGGTACCGGTAACACGTATCGTATATCGTTATTTGATGATAATTAAAAAAACTCTCCTTATTTCTATAGATAAGTATAGAGCCAGTACCAATATAATTTAAAAATAACAATGATAAAATCAAGTGGGCAGTAATTAGAAAATGATAATTAAAATGTAAATTATTTCATCGTTCGTATATGTTATATATTGAATTTATCAAAGAACTTAAGATTATTATGTATTAGATATTTTGAATTTGTACACGCGATAATTATTATCGATTATACATAACGGAGAAGATTTGTTTAATAATGTGATCATTGATTTTTGAAACACGCGCCTGACCGTGAAGATTTATAAAACAGTTGTAAAAATTGAGTATAAAATATAAATTTACTACTAAACTCACCTAAACTACTTGTGCAGTAAGCTTGTGTCATTTCTTCTATAGTACATGGCCGACATTCTGAAAATAGAAAAAAAAATATATAATTAAAATCGTATTAAAGTTGAAATTGTAAAAAAAATTATTTTTTCTACTATTATATCACTAAAAAGTAAAAATAAAGCCAAATAATCGACTGCTGTTTGTAATGTCTATGTTTTTTCTTCTTAAATTGACATATAATCATACGACGTTTCGTGGCTCGGTAATCGTAATTTTCTTTTAGATTAGTCTAAGTAGTATTATTTTATTACATAGGTATAGTATAGTTGAATGCATCTTTACACAACGAATTATCATATTATTTACTACTCTTGACTCCGTCGTAGTATTAAAATCCAATAAACCGTCTATAATTTTGTCTAGTGTTATATAATTATAATTATTGTCTAGCGTTGTCTCTGGTTAAGGAACTCCAAATGCGCATTATATAATATATACATATATATTCAATAAAGGGAAATTTATGTTCAACGGCCTATAACTTTTTTAAATAAAAATCACCATTAGCGTGTTTCTTCGACGACCACCATATCCTATTGTTTATGGTGATAATAAATAAATATTATAACCGAGTAATAAAAGGAAAAAATTATACATAATATAGTATTATATATACAACAGAAATAAAAGTGTATATACAGCGTGTACTTTGATAATGTAGGCGAAACCGGTATTTTTAAACAACGCGTACCTATGTGGTTTTTTTTATCGTTAGGTTTCTCGAGTAAATTTATGGTCGGTCTATTTTTATTTTTTTTTTTTTTGTGACTTCCAACAAGGACTTTGATAGTACGCGTTTATTAGCCGAACGTAGGTTAAATCTGCATTTAACATATGAAACCAAAAGAGAAGAAAAAATGATAATATCGAGATTATACTCATGTCAAAATCAACTGTTTAAGTATACGTAGTTAAAAAAAAGCAAAATTATCTAGAAAACGTCTTGGTTTTTATAGCTTGTACGATTTATATGCATAATATATACTGTATACATAGCAATGCGTGCATTTTAATATTACTTAAATTATGGTTAGGTACGTACTTCAAACAAGTTATTGAACGAAGTAAAATCATTTTAATAGCGTAATAATGCATAAACACTTCTAAAGTTGTCAAAAATATAATGCTTTTATGAAAAATCGTTATCGTCTTTATAGAAATATAATATACGATTCAAATATATTATTTTACACTCGTCCATTAATTATGGTCCTATATTATACACTTATGGTGAAAAGCCGGTGCCTATATACTCGAGATGGTCGGAAATCTAAGACAAATATGTATTGTTAAGCTGATTTTCTATTGTTTCTGTAATGAAGTAAAGGAAATTAGGGTCAATGATCATTTCAACGAACAATATACCTAGGACACCTGCCCGATTTAATTCGTTCGTAGTGTATAGGTACCTACCTACATGTACAGAAATATCGGCGAGACGCCGGCGTGTCATTGTTATTCCATATTATAATATATTAACAAACTTGGACGGCTTAAGACAAGCGTGATCGATGTACGAAATAAAAAATAATACCTATAACGTAGAGGTAGGAACAAAAAAAAAAATAATGTATACTATTATATCTATCTTGTAATCTTGGTTAGTTGATGGACGGACGTGTGTAAAAACTATATATGAAGGCGATCATATATATTTACGATGAACAATTATTTATGTTATTATGAAACGGTTTGTTCTAAATTTTAATATCGCTAAACGTCAGTTTGAATCACAGTAGTTAAATGATATTATATCAAACAATTATTTAAAATAATAATTATTATTATTAAATGACACAAGTTGTTTTTATTTAACGTCATGTTTTTTTTGATTTTTTTCTTTTAAATCTAACTTTATTATTGATGTTATACATACAGATTGTAAATTCCATATTGATAGAAAAAGCAATATTCGTATATTAAAAAAATATCAAAATGTTATAGTATATACGCACCATATGTGTGCTCGCCTATTTATTTACATTTTAATACATTATATTATAAATTACCTGCAAGGTAAACGCCTACGTAACACCGTAAGGCTGAATAATATGTATTTCAGAAAACAAATACATGATTAATTTTTTTGTTATTATTATTAATTTATAGTAACAGACAGCTGATCTTGTGTACCGTCGAAAACTGCTGGTCTTAAGTTTTAACGCCATGCTTGTCACGCCCCATCAGATTAAAAACTACATATGTTTGTGAAAAGAACATTTGGATGTTAATGGTGTTAATAGTTTATTTCTTCGATAGTTATTTCAAGCAGATAATAATATGTGAAGAACGGACATCGGATGAAATGTAATTTGATCGATTTTAAAATATGTTTTACTGCACAGCGGCGATTGAGTTCTGCGGTAGTTTAGTGGACTAAAAAACGAGTTTTGTTAAACGATTCCAATTTATTTTATTCATACCAATACGTTATTATATAGCCAATAACAAAATGTATTATTTATTTTCAAATACTAAAAAATATTTTCGGTTAAAGTATTTTTGTAGTTCATGAGTAGACCAATTAAATATTATACAACAGTTTCTTGTTTATCAAGCTTTTCATTCCATTTTTTATTCTAAGCGAAGCGATGATTGTATTGGTTTAAAAAATTATTTTAAATGCGTTTTATGTTGTTTGCCATAAACATGGAGAAATAAAAATGCTTCAATTTTCCAATTTATTGATGATATCTGATAGGATATTGTTGATAAATTTTTTTTAGGATCAGTCAAAAAGTTTGAAAATTCAATACAAAATATCTCACAGGTTTAAAAAAATACATATTAAATAATTTTTTAATATTTCAAGTTCACACTTTGACAAAATAAATTATGGATGTTTAAAAAATAAGCTACCTACGTAATTTTTAGTCTTTTATTATATTTTGAAAAACAATATCCATAGGAATTTAAAACTTTTCACATTATCTACATATACTATATACATTTAACACAAAGATATTTTTAAAATATTATTCAATTTTTCTGTATTGGTCATTGAAAAATATAAAATATGCTATATATTTAGAAATACATGCTGAGAAACAGTTATCTGTTTAGAATTGTTTTTTGTATGCAACGATATTATCATAGAATTATTCAAATTTAATACATCCATTATAGTGACTACTCAATGACTCAAACTACTTGACAATTACTACACTGGACAATGACTTTTCGACAATTTTCTTTTTAAATATTTGTATTTTACACCACGGCCGCTATGGCAGAAATAAAACTATTATAGTTAGGTGTTTGATTTGTTTCGAATATACTTAAATATATTTTATGTTTATGTAGTTGATTATATAGTATTATATTGATCATTATTAATGCATTAGATGGCTGTGTCAATTGTGTCAATAATTTCAAAATCAACAAAAAAGTTAAAAAGTTAAGTTCAATGTATTATTTTAATCGATGAACCGTAAATATTAGATAATAATCGGCAAATAATATAGTCACGGACTGTTAAAATGTTATTAGAACGTCCAATTTCGACAAAACAATGTATTCGACCGTGATAAAACAAATTAAATTATCGCGATTACTCAACTTATCAGTGCCGAACCGAATAAATATCGTATAATTCAATCATCCTTATTTAGCCAATCATAGTCGGGTATCTTTAGAGGGGTTAGCCTCCATACATTTAAAAACTCTTCCCATAATTGAAACTTTATTAAAAATGTTATTATTACTGTTATTTCTGTTATTTGTGTTTTGAATATTCTAGCTTCCTCGAAAATTTAACCAATTGTCCACCTTTAGTGCCAATATATACTTAATAGTTATTTAATACTGCGAAAAAAAACATAAAAAATGACAACTAAAAAAATTAGACGCAAACGAATAAATAATAATATTCTGAAATATATTATCGCTGTAAATCCTCATAGCACTGGTTGTAAACAACGTAAATTTGTAATCGACGCACTCTTATAAGTTACAGCAGAGTACCTGAATAAGAATTTGATTTAAAAACTAACTTTATTTGTTTTATAATGGTATTGAGTTGGCACTACTTACTCATAATAATTAATATTATGATGATAGGTATTAATCGAATTTAATCATTAGGTCCCTGCTCCCTTGGTCCCTATACTTAATTACTTGTTGAACACGACTTGAATCAGTTAGTAAAAATTGCTACATTTCGGGGTTAAGTCTCGACTTCAAGAACCAGAGTTGGGTTCTTATGTTTAGATTCAAGCTCATCAGTACACCCGCGATAGATAAGCAGTTAAAATTGCTTAAAAAATGAGTTGTCAATTCTCCTTCTTTTAACATAACTGCTTAACCGTGTGTACATGTTACTATTATTACGATTATATTTTGTAAATAGTAAATAATTATACCAATAACGGTTTGAAACATCACGTTTTGAATAATTTATTGTTTTGAATAAAATTGAACCGATTAAACTATATTGCAAAATATCAAAAACAAATATTGTTGTATACGTTTTTCCGGTTTACAGCCTAAGTAATTAGTTAGTTTAACCTAACTTGTTCGCACCGGAAAAAAAAAAATCGGGAGCCCGACCCGTGTCAATTTTTTGAATTTGGTATCAAATTTAAATTTATCCGTGTCAACTATTTATAAACAATACCTTTAAGATATACATGCATACAAACGGGTTAGGCACCTCCTATTATAACTGCGTTTATGGATGAGATGCATAGATATGCACAATTCATAATATAATAATACGCGATAGTAATCGCCGTGCACTTACCGTCGTCGAGGTTGTCGGCTACGAAAAGTTGGGGCGCGGGCTCGGCGAGCGGTTCGAGATCGTAACGGAACCGGACGGGACCGGACCGGTCGCCCGTCTTGTCCGCCTCCACGTAGAACGCGGCCGTGCCGCCGACGCTCTTGAAGCACCGTGACCTGAGAGGTTCGCCGCCGGTCGTGCGATAATCGTACACGGCGATCAGCCGACGGGGCGCGCTGTCCAACAGCACGCGCACGCCGTCCAGCCGGTCCGGTTTGAGGCAGACGCGGAACTCGCGGCCGCCACTGGTGCCCGTCAACCGGAACACCACCCTTAGCGCGCCGCGCGGGTACGACCAGCGCACCGTGCCCGCCCAGCACCGATCCAATCGGACGGGCCGCACCGAGTGTTCCGACGAATCCGACGTCAGTCCGCTGGAAAACGACAAAACAAAAAATAATCGTTAAACGTTTTCAATATTATCACACGCGATGTTATGATCACATGTGTGTGTAGTTATTATTCAGTCAGACGATATTATGGGTATTTATAACACAACGTTGCGGTTCATAGCGGTGTCCTTTAATCGTACACGATAATATTATGTACCTGCGTATGTATAATATGAGTTGTACCTATATGACATCCCGGTTTGCACTTAATACGCACGGTAAAAGAGTCTACTATTATTATAGTTATAGGAACTGTATGGTGGTTATAACGCGGAAGTGGATATATACATAAAGGTTTAGACGACGGCGACCACTACACTAGTATTGCTTATAATTTGAAACGGTATTTTTTTCCGGTCCTGTTCGATTCCGTTGACATTTCAGATGAAACTGAAAGGTATTGACATATTTCTTGTTCACTCCTCTAAAATTATAGTCAGATTTGTATTTCCAGTAACACGTCATATTGATTTGCCCATGTTATGCGGTAGGTACTCGTGAAACAAATAGTATACTGTTTTTCGGCATAGAGGTTGCTTTATTTTAGTCGATGAAAAACATTTATTTCATAATATAGTTTATTCGAACTTGCAAATTATGTTAGGCAGTGTACTCGGGAGCACGGCACTAAAACAACTAAACGAAAGTAAAAATGTCACGGTTATACCCGGGCCGGTGTTCGAGCCATTTACCGATAACAATAAGATAAAATATTAGATAGTGCACCGAACACATATAATACATATTTATAAGCGATATCGTCTTTATACATACCTAATAATAAATATGTATATTACATATTATATATACCCGTTTGGAGTATATAAATTGACATGTCAACTCCTATAATTATATATTATACACACACTTGAAGTGTGCGTTAGTTACTTTAGATGGTATATATATATATATATGTGTAAGAATTATATAGAGTTTACGTGGACATAATACGTTAATCAAGTTATCGATGTCAGACTTAACATTTTTTTTTTCCGGACAGACATAATAACTGAGTAATTTAGCTGTGGCATTAACGATACAAATATATTAACATAATTGTTTTCGTCTAAACGCGATGCATAATTGTTTATTGTACGTATATAATATATAAATGAACAATAATAATTATTTCCATAGTCAAATTAATTGTAAGACTGTTATAAACTTGCATGTAATAAAATAAATTTTTGATTATTTTAATGAGCCAAGAAAAAAAATTTTAGAATCAGTGTTTTGAAAATATTTCAAAATTACGTTTTGTCGTTAATACGTAAGGTCGAAATTCATCCAGTCCGCCCTTAGGATTTTTTTATTTTTACGGATGAAATGTAAATTTTATTACTGCAGTTTCCCTGTGGGCAATTTAATATCATGTATCTATATTAATATACATTTTACCGCCGACAAACTTCAGTGTACAAAACGCCTGCACGAGTAATAATATTCACAGCGTATACCTAGTACCTACATAATATTTGTAAAAAAATATATGTATATAGTTATGTAGTCGAGTTCTGGCGGCACTAGATAGGTGTATAATATAGACTATAGACTATAGTATATGCAAATCGAGCTATTACTGCACCAAAACCCGAAATAACGTTCTATTATTTCGTTTGAACTATAAAAACAATCCGAATAAATTATCTACATAATAATACGCATCAACGTGCGTACTTCACCATCGTCGCTGTAAACTACACCAGATTTCAACACGTGTCAAGAAGAACGGCGTGTAAGATCGTCTCAACTGCCGTAGTCTATTGGATGTTTTTTAATCGTCTGACAATCACTTCTTAAGTATTGTGGTATGTCTGAGAGACAACCCTCTAGCTCCAAATTGGACGACGTCGATCCGACGACGCGAAGCATCGATAATGTGCGATAACGAACGCGTCCGACGGATTGTCGTGCCTAATACTATAGATACCTACGTGTTATTATTTTTTTATATATATAACCCACGACGGATTAATTCGATGATTAATGTCTTAACACGGAGGTCGTTATACATGTTATATTGTTTCGATGTCTTGTCGTCTTGAAAATAGAAATAAATGTAGGTACGTGTAAGATGCACAACAACTGCCGTAAAATTAATATATATGATAATATAAGTACCGGTCGGATACGTAGATAAATGTACGAGTAGTTCGGAAAAAATAAGGATAACCTTGAGTTGAAACAATCATGTGTATAGATGACTCTATACGCACGCCTCTAATGATCTGTATCGACAATTATTTCGGAAATAACGTCGACCCACAACGTGACGTGTAGTAGGTACTTACACTGGATTAAAGTATAAAAATATAATAGTATAATACTTTAATGACAAGTAAAATGTCATCCCGGGTTTCGTATTGAACATAATATATTATGAATATAATATACATGCTACGCACTAAGTATATTGTATATACTGCACATACCATAACAGAATATTGCATCATGGTCATAATATAATAATGTACAATACATTAATACATAATATATTTTATATGTAACACAGCAAGCGTCTATGTATATATATATACATGAAGTATAATTATAATAGACCTCGTGTTGGGATTTGCGCCGACAGTAATGATATTAAATGATCGACGACGAAGAGTTACAACGGACCACCGGGGAAGATGGGGCTTGCGCATCGGCCGCCAAGTTCCGATTATCCTTTACCCGGCTTATTGCGTTCCGTCTTGGATATTAATGATGGAGGTTAAGGATAACACGAAACTATCAACACACTACCATCAATGGTAGGACATAATAATATCATTATATTATATTGTATAAAAGGTCCGCTTACGAGTGCCCTTCCGTCTTGTGTACTCGCTATACACAATCCGAACACATGATAAATGGTAACACGCGCGTAAAGTGACGTCTATGAGATTTTTTCGTACCATAAATAATAGTTATTAATTTTGTCACTTCAATGAATAATAATAATAATAATAACAACTCGACTGGAGTAATTGATTTTCGGACGCATTGACAGCAGCGGCTCTTTTTTATTCATTTTTTTTATTTTGTAGCAGTGCTGTTTATGTACCTATCCTTTTTACTAAAGAAATATTATTTTCAAAAAAAAAAAAAGTGGAAAAAATAGTGACCTATTCTTTTGGTATAATAATGTGTTTTATAAATATTATTTTGATTTTTATGGTGGTTACAAAAGAAATAATAACACGGTCAGCATACAGTGGTAATTCAGTCCAGACGTCGGTGGCTTATAGTGAAACTAGGACCCACTATAGGGTCAGAAATTCGAGTGTCAGCTGGCAGATGTCCCCCCTCCATCATTTTGCTTGCATATGTATAAATATTATAATAGAGTTTGTTTGGGGTTTCTTTCAACAGGTAGACAGGTATATATAATATATAAAGATAATGCACAATGGCCATACCGCCGCCGATATTATTGGCTATTGCGACTGCTCCGTTCACTGTATTATATAGTATATTGAATTACCCATGCCCACGTTTTTCGTCAAAGGCTATTTAATTATTAAGAACCTAATACATAAATACATTATAATACCTAACGCACAAGCGGGCGTTTATGACGTCAGTTATGGGGCGTCTATTGTGGCGAGAAAATAGAACCCTTCTACACATCGTATGCGTAGATACGGTGAATAATCGTTTTCATGAATCAAGTGCGTTTATATAATGAAATCCGCAAGACGAACAATGTTCAATGCACGATGTCTCGCTAGTCGTCTTTCACTTATTGTCCGTGTACAGGAAAAATTTAAGACATCATAATATAAATTAATCTATTTTTTGTACTGCAGACAATTAGTTATCTTACAAAAAGAATAGCAAAAAAATAACACTACTAGCGTCGACGATAAAATATACACATATAGAATTTAGATAAATATATTTAACCTTTATGAACACACACACACACACACACACATATATTATATTATAGATAATAAAAACACTTATTTTAGTTTTGCGGTTCTCGTACCTACGGTTTACGCGGTTTATGAGACGTGCAGATTGTTCCGACAAAGAAATTTATCGAATACTCGAATCGTTCCACCCGAATATTATACGTTTTTCCTTTCATATAATGTATTAATCACTGTTGATGTTACAACAGTAATTATATACATGGATTTCGGTAGTTTTTCGTAGACTGTCGACAGACAATAGAACAGTCAAAACGTAATGCCGAGTTCCTTGGTCAACTATAGGTATAGGTAAGTACTAATAACATATACATTATATACATGTAATATGCATCGAACATATTAAAATCGTATCATAAACCTTTTTCCTGGGAAAAAATAAAAAATAAAAACTAGAGATTTCTCACAATAGGCCATCAGAAATATTCGACGACAGTTCTCACCGTTTTTACCGATGTTTATTACCTTATACCGGTGGTCACTTGTAAACGACGTGTCGGTGCCACTCGCAACAAAAGTCCATGAGATCGGAATGAGAGAAAAATAGCAGAATTGAATAATGTTAATCGCTACAAATGACCGCGACACGCAATTATCGTGCTACTGAGTGAAGTTGTAGCTGTAATATTATTTTTATTATATTATTAAAACTATGCGTTTCAAATATGCTGAGACAAATCGATTGATTAAACGGGGTATGAGAATTTTCATAAGTATCGTCACACCATTATATAAAATAATAAAATATACACCGCAAACATACGCGTGAGCCAATACAATAATGCAATTCGTAATTCGTACATACGATACGATTTCCGTGTAAGAGTGTAAAATCAGTAGTGTCTTCTAATATGTATTACTGTACCATACAACGAATATTATTGTTGTTATTTTTATACGATTTTCGATATTGGTTTTAAGACGACGCGAATAGAATAAGAACAGATGTAGATTAAAATCTGCTCATTTTGACCGAAGTACGGTCATTTTGCAGCCGGATTCTATATTACGCTGACAATATATTATTTAGAAAAAGATTTTGTGTTATCTCCCTTC